AAAACAGGTGTTGGAAGAGCGCGTTATCGAGGTTATTGACCCCCGCCCACACAACCCCAGTGGTTTCCATGATAATTCAACTCGGATGTTTTGCTTTTCCATGCTATAAAAATGGCTTATAATGTTAACCTAAGTTTAAAACAATTGTGCTTAAAAATTGTTTTGATTCATTTTAGACTATTGAATTTTTAGCGTGGACCAACGCCGGATTAGTTCTTGTTCTCTCCGGTATGCAAAGTTTTCTCAAGTTTGCTTCTTTGTTGCTGTTTTGATAAAACTGAGCTGTTATTCAACAGTTGAAGTCTTTTTTCTTCATGGCCAATTTATGTTTATCAAGGTCTAGTTTTCCAGACCTCAATAAATGAAAGACGAATTATTTTGCATCAGCTTTTTGGTTTAATTTTTTTTGGTTTAAGTTGTCGAAACTCAATTTTCGAAAACGTTTGCTTAATTTATTTTGAAAATAATTCTTCTGCTAATTTTTTAATTTAAAACGGCTCTTCTCAAAACAGACCGCGCATTGCGAGGCCAAACTGTAAACTGGATAGGCGGACAATTTTTTGTCTGAATGTTCCTGAAGTCCAGAGTAAAGTCTGCAAACATGTTAAAATTTTGTCGGAACGATCAAAGAAAATGATAGAACAAAAGAAGACGAAAGAGAGCGTCCTTGCTGCGCAATGGGCTCACAGTTCACAAAATACACAGTTTGGCCACGCAATGCAACTTTGTTTTGTTCAGAAAAGTAACTATTTTTTTTGTGTCCTACAGAAATTAAATAATTCTAGATTTATAAAAAACTTAAATTAAATTGTTTTTCTTTCGAATTAATAAAAAAGACACCGAAAAAAAAGTGCAAAGAAAGTATTTCAGTCAGATCAATTTTGTCAATTTAGACCAAAGTTTGAAAAAAAGCGATCAAAACAGCAAATTTTCTTGGAATTTTTGGACATACTTAAAGATATGGACTCCTCGACCTCAAATTTAAAGAAAACTTGCTCAAGGGCAATCATTTTGGTGAAAAAAAGTAACGTAACGTCAAGACCTGGAAGTTTATATTGACTTACAAAGCGGAAAACCAAGTGAAAAATTCCAACAACAAAAAAATTTTTTAAAAACAATAAATTTTGTTTTCCTAAAAAAACTCAAGACAATTGAAAATAAAAAAATGTTTTTGATTTTCCCAGGAACAAACACTGTTGCTTTTGACGATGAGGAAGACACGCAGCAAATACATCATCTGAGCCACTACTATTACATCAATCATTATGATTTCCAGCCCAAACTCTGGAATGTAGCTCTGCTCGTTTTGAACAAACCTTTCAAATATGACGCCTTCAGAAGCGGTCTGAAAATTTGCGATGAAGCTTTAATTTCGCAACAACACCAAATTTGGACAATTGGCATGGGAGTTAAAGACAGCGACGGTGCATTCCCGGAGTATCTTCAGGTATTTTTTTTATTTTCTAAACTCAGCCGCAGTTGGACCTAAAAGCAAAATTTGATTCAAAAGTTGAACCAAGTGTGTTGTGTTTTGAGCAAAATTGAGCGCTTTTAGGTGTCAATAAAGAATAAAAACAAAAAAATTTTAGAGCATTTTTTTCAAGAACTCGGGATACTAAGATTTATTCAGATGAATTTAACAATCAGAGAATAAATAACTGCATAGATCATTCCTAAAATCTAAGACGCACACTGCAGTCTAGATTGACTAACTTCATTCTTCTACAGTTGTGTCAAAGCGATGTTGTAGAAGTACGTGTGTGGTATCTTACTACAATCATTTCAGTCACTGATTACGTTAAAAAAATTGCTTTATTTCCTAAAATAATTATCACGCCTAAAAAATATTCGAAAAATGTCCGAACACAATTTTTTAACGGCTATTTTTATCATTTGTGACTATACGGATGAACTTTTCTCCCCTAAATGTATATGAATTTGTGTTTTTTTTTCACCAGGAGCTTCGAGTACGATTTGTGCTTCATAAATGGTGTCAGGATTCATTTGGCGATCCAAGTTCGAGAACCAGCATGTTGTGTTTGGTCTCTAGCAGGGAAGTCACGGATACTGCAGGCATATGCGACGGTGAGCGAGCAAACAAAGCCGTAAGCAGTCAAAAAAGAAAAAAAATAGTTATTGGTGAATTAATGAAAGTAGGGCAACGTAAAAGCATGTTTTTTTGTAAATATTTCTACTTAGATATTTACATTTCATTTTCAACAAATTTTTTGTTGAGACTTTTTTGATATAATTAACTTAATTTGAGACAACTGGATTGATAAATAATTTTTTTTTCACTGGGAGAAAAAACTCAAAACAGAATTCCACTTTCAAAATTAGAAGTCGATCGCGTTTTTTCGTTAAGTTTATTCTTTTGCTATCTGATTGTGGAGCTTGCGCTCCTTTTAACAAAAGAAATTAGCTGAAACTAAAAAGGAATCAAAAGTCAAACCGGTAAAACATCAAATGTGAGCGAAAACTTCCTAAAATTAATAAGAGTAACGACCGAAATGAAGACGCATTTATAGCTCTTGTGATTTTTTCCAGGAAAACTCTTAAAATTTGTTCACACCTAATTTTAATTTTTCGCAATTTGACTTGAAATATTTTTGTGGAACTCCGTGCGTATCCATTGTTAACAGGAGGGCAAACTCCACTATTGAACAGCAAAAGTTCAGGGTCACAACAACGTGATCGACTTTTAGTTTCGAAATTAAAATTTAATTTTCAGATTTACCAGAGAAATAAAATTTTTAAGAATTGATCCAGAAATTTCAAGTTGCGTTAATTGCATGACAGAACTCTCAAATATAAATTGATCTAGAAATTCAAAGAGTTTTAAGACCATCTGATTTTTTCTTCGAGTTTCAAAGGCTGAGATTTTTTTTAAAATAGGTCAATTTTTTTCTATTTCTTTGCGTTCATTACTCTGTTCCAGCTGTCGTTGGCTATGTTCAAAAAATATCAATAATAAATTTTTCTTGCAGTTCAAAGGTTTTGATCTTTTATTCTTCCTACAATTCTAAAGTCAACTTTTTTTAACTAAACCATTTTTTGCATTCATTGATTTTTTTTACTTATTGCTGCATATATCAAATTTATTTCGCATCAGTCAGCTCCGAGTTCATTTTATTTTTGGTCAAAACCATTTTCAAAGATTGAGCCTTTCAGTTGCCCTTCGACCCAACTTGACCTCCAGTCAGCAAAAGTTGCTCGTCGTGCAACTCCCGTGTTTATGAGAAATTTCTGTAGAACTGAACCAACTCTGCACTCAAACAATTTTTTCCAAATAACGAAATTTTTACATGCTTTTTGTCTTAAGTTAGTCATACAATAAGAATTGCTAGTCATATAACTTTAATATATGAAAAAACAACTAGTCGAATAGTTTCATACAACTTTTGAAGTGCACGGTTTGAATAAAAAGATGTATGAGAATTGAAAGACTAAACCGCTTTCCCAACCCGGGAATGTGAAAGACGGAGACTGGCATTTTAGCACATGTGTCGATTAGCATCAATACGAGATCAAATTGTCTGTTGATTCCTGGATTCGAGAGACAAGTCTTTAAACCTGTTAAAAATTTTGCCGGAACGATCGAAGAAAACGAAAGAAGGAAAAAAAAACACAGAAGGAGCTTCCTTGTTGCGGAATCCGCTTACTATTCACAAAAATCACAGTTTGGCGTCGTAATGATGCCATGTAGAAAATGCAGTCGTCTCGCTGGCTCATTTAAGCTTTTAAAAATGTATTTACAATTTTGTTCAATGTGCACTTTGCCGACGTATTATTTGATCGCATATGAAACTTCATGTTAATCAAGAAATTATGCATTTTTCAAACTAAAATGCAAACTTAAGCAATTTTTTTTTTGTTCGATTGAACAGCTAGTCAAGCATTTGTAGTTAGAAGCAAAAAGTTTGGACACACAGATTTAATTGAAATGAGCAATCAGTGCTTGTCGACGCTTTTTTGCATGCAAAATCTGAAGCCGAACAGCCTCGACTTTTTTGTCAGACTAAATTCAAAATGCGAGATTGTCGATTTTCCGATGGTTATGCTAGCCTAATTTTTAAATACTGCAATGAACATCCAGATTTTACGATAAAACATTTTGAAGCTTTGGATGCAATTGCCTGCCGTGGTTATATGTGGAAACTCGAATCTAATTAACAATCTCCCCCTAATTGTATCTACTAAAGAATCTCCACACCTGTAAATAAAAACAGTAAATTCGCACTAGAGCATTGTACGTAATTTAGAATTTTGCTGCGTTCTGATGGGTCGAAAACTCGCTTCTTGTAGTTTTATTAATGATCTCCTCCCATTTCTTGAAAAAGGAATTGTTAAGTAGATCCCGTAACTCTGTTTTTTATGAACTTTCGACGTTATGTTTATTTCAGTTTTAATTTCCGTTGATGTCTAGACAGTTCCTTTTTTTAATTAATTCTGTCTGTCCGAATTTTTTACAACTCTATATATCGCATGATACCTGTCACAACAGCTTTTTTGTTGTTACAGACGTGTTTCGAAACTCATAGCCAGATTGATCATTTTTCGCTTTGCAAGTTTAAAATAATTCAATCGTTTTCAATTCTATGCTAAAAAAACTCAGAAGCGTTTAGTGCGGTATATTATCAGCTAGTTACTGAATTGCGCCTCCATGCTCAAGAAACATCATTTAATTCCAACAAAAACAGCTAAGATTGAACTTATAGTAGATTTTTCTGGCTGATAACTAATTTATTTCAGGCGATGTCGGAGGTCCAGTGTTTCGATTGAAGTCAAGTACGAAACAACCAATTTGCTTATGGGGAGTTGTAAAGTACAGCCCATCCGAATGCGGGAAACCGTTTTTCGCGGCCTCCAGGCTGGATTTTTTCTATAAGTACTTCAATCGACAACCAAATCTCAAGTATTCAAGTATTGGACGATTTAAAGTTGAGAGTCAAAAAGTCGAAAACATAGAAAGTTGGACACTTTTTTCCGAGACAACGTCGATGTTAAGTAGCCTGACAACTAGCTCAACAACCAGCTCGACATCAAGCTCAACAACTAGTTCAACAAGTAGCTCGACAACTAGTTCGACAAGTAGTCCGACAACTAGTTCGACTACTAGTTCTACAAGTAGCTCGACAACTAGTTCAACAAGTAGTCCGACAACTAGCTCGACTAGTAGTTCTACAAGTAGTCCGACAATTAGCTCGACTACTAGTTCGACAAGTAGCTCGACAACTAGCTCGACAAGTAGTCCAACAACTAGTTCGACAAGCAGCTCGACAAGTAGCCCAACTACTAGTTCGACAAGTAGCTCGACAACTAGCTCTACAAGTAGCCCAACAACGAGTTCGACAAGTAGCTTGACAACTAGCTCTACAAGTAGCCCAACAACTAGTTCGACAAGTAGCTCGACAACTAGTTCGACAAGTAGCTCGACAACTAGCTCTACAAGTAGCCTAACAACTAGTTCGACAAGTAGCTCGACAACTAGTTCGACAAGTAGCTCGACAGCTAGCTCTACAAGTAGCCCAACAACTAGTTCGACAAGCAGCTCGACAACTAGCTCTACAAGTAGTCCAACAACTAGTTCGACAAGTAGCTCGACAACTAGCTCTACAAGTAGCCAAACAACTAGTTCGACAAGCAGCTCGACAACTAGCTCTACAAGTAGTCCAACAACTAGTTCGACAAGTAGCTCGACAACTAGCTCTACAAGTAGCCAAACAACTAGTTCGACAAGTAGCTCGACAACCAGTTCAACAATTAGCTCGACAACCAGTTCGACAAGTAGTCCGACAAGTAGCTCGACAACAAGTTTTACTAGTAGCCCGACAACTAGTTCTACAACTAGCTCGACAATGATGTCTTCTCACAACCAAACAATACACACTAAGGCAATTGAAAAAGTCACAGAACCGACAAACAATATCACCTTAGCTGATACGACAAGCAAAATGGCATCAATCAAAGCACCTGAAACTGCATCAGATCCAATAAGCGATACTACATTGGATTTTATGTCTCAAACATCAAGGAAAACGTCAAGAAAAATTACATCCGAAGCTACCCTTATTACAACAAAACTGACCCACAAAACTGAAGGGGATATTGCAAATAAAAGGACAACAAAGAAGGCCAGCAACAAGACATCAGATGATGTTTTTTCTACCGTCGAAAAGTTCACGTATGAAACTTCAAAATCACCAGAAAATATACAAGCAATCAAAAGCAATGCTTTTAATATAGCATGTTTACACTTATTCTGTTTATACCAAGTTTCTCTTAACTTATCTTTTGGTTGTCATTGGCAATTCTATTAGGTAATTAATTCTGTGTTTCATTTGTTTTTATGTCTATTAATTTTTCAAAAATGCATCATCATTGGAAAACTTTACTCATAAAAAGAATATACCTTAAATTGTTTGCACTGATATTTCTACGACAATATACGCCAGTCCTTCTGGTGATATCTGGCTTGAAGTTATCTCATTTTTTCATTTTTCGTTCGGCAATAATCTTCATATTGTTAAATTATAGAAAGACAGTTCTGCTCTCGACACTGATGGCAAAAATGGGATAAGTTTGAACCAATAAGTTACGTGAACTTGCTCAAAGCTCGGGTAAAGGATGGCGCTTTATGATCAGCCAATTGTGGCAAATTTCTGGTTTTTCAGGAAAGGCAAGACCAAAATTTCTTTTTTTAGCCCACTGTGATTTAAGGGTGTTTCAAATTTTTATTTTTTTGCAGACAGAATAGACGCATCCGATACCTAAGAGACCCACGAAAAAAAACCGCAACCGAAGCATAATTGTCGGATTCAGTTACAGCGCAAAAGTATTAGCTTGAACTAAAAGATCAAAAAGTCTAAAGTTTCAAAGTATACTGGCCAAAATCCCAGGTTGCAATGGGGTTCAACTCAGCCAAAATTTAAGAGCGCCTTATTTTCAAAGTGTCACGACTTTTTTTAACACCCACTGCCACCGAAATAGTAGATAATTAGAGTTATTCCACGACTAGTAAATTCTGTCAGGTATATGAATTTTTGGTCGCAGAAAAAAAATTGACGCGACTGTCAAAATCAATAGAATATATTACGAATCCAACCTCGGTTTTATAACTCAGCAAAAATTTGTATTTTCACACGTCTGGATTCCTTGGACAATTCTTTTGCGTGTTGTAGATACTTTTGTCAGTGGATTCCACGATCAAATGATCCCTACACAAAAGGCCGTCAAGATAATTTTGTCAGTGGATTCCTGAGACAACTATGTTCTCGCCGTTGTTGAGGGTTCCATTAAATGTCGCTGGATTCCCAAATTTGTCAGTGGGTTCCGCCGTGACTTTATTCCTTTGTCTCACTGGATTCCACTGTTTGTCAGTGCATTCCGCAGCCAATTCGTCTTTCTGTCACTGAATTCCACAAGCACATTTTTGAATCATGAAATTTGTATTTAAACGAATTTTTCATCACCTGAATTTAGAATAAAGAAGACAAAATATATCAGCAAATGCGACAAGTAAATCATCTCCTTTTTCCTTCAAAAAAACCTAACTTTCCCTTTTTATCTTCTTCTTCTTCGTTAATGAGAGAAGTCCGTTCATGGTTACCTCCCCAGCATTTAAAACAATTGTCTTCATTGATGAGGGTGGCCTAATTGCAGCAGTTAACACAATTGTTTTTGTAAAAATGTTCGTGATTTTTTTGGTCATCTAATTTTTCATAATTGTTTTTTGACAGGATAATTTTGGCTGCTCGATTAATTGAATGAGTGAGACAAGTCCCTTCATGTTGCAATCCTCCTCAGCCTTTAGGACAATTGTCTTGATTGCTGAAGAAAAAAGCGCTGCCACCCCCTCTCCTCGCAGCATTTAAAACAATTGTCGTAAATGCTGAGAGGAAGGGGTAAACTGAGGTAGAAAAAGTTGTCATTTAAATGTAATTGAAAAGGAAAAAGGATTTGCGGAAAAATTGAGAGGTTTTTAAATGTCTCTTTTGCTGACGCATATTTTTTTCACGTGAACTAAAAAAAGCCGATCACTGGAGGGACGTTCACACCAATCAAAAAACAGTGATGAAAAAATGGGTCCACACGGAAACAGTAAAAAAATTGCGCTTGTGGAATCTAGTGACAAAAAGAAAAATTGACTGATAAAGCTACTGATAAATCACAAAATCCAGTGACAAAAAGAACAAATTGATTGCGGAATACACCGATAAACAGTGGAATCTAGTGACTTTTGCTTCAATTCACTCCAACTGCAAAATTAAATTTGTCTGCGGAATCCAAAACAAAGCATGTCTTAGCTTTTTCTGCAAAATCTGCATTGAGACTGGAATCCAAACTTTTGGTAATTTTTAAATCTAGCAACTATTGTTTAAACATTTTTCTTTCGAATCCATCAGTACCCGAGATTGGCATCGTTTTGTACTCTACCCTAGAGTCATCTAAATAAAAACCAACCCGGCTGAAGCTTTCAAATGTGTCAAGCTCAGACAAAAGCATCTCAGGAAAGTAAACTGCGGGCATTCTCCTTTTGGTCGTTGTGTAGAGAGCAAACTTTGCGCAACCCACAATTTGCTTTCAATGTGATTGAATTGCATGATAGTGAGTTCTGCTTCTAGCGCACAACCGTATTGATGTAGGCAAAGCTACAATTCGTAACAGGCGACACTACGTAACATGCGACAATTCGTAACAGGCGACAATTCGTAGCAAGCGTTAATCGTTACAAGGCATAGGCGAGTAAAACATGCTTGCTTTGCTTCGTTGCGCTTACATCCGAGAGGAAAACGGCACATGAATCAGTGTTACCCGTTTAAATTACCGTTACGAATTGCCACTTGTTACGAATTGTTGCTTGTTACAAATTGTCGCATGTTATGAATTGTCGCCTCACGAGTGCTGTCATTTTGCAATCTCTAAGTTTTGTCAAAACCAAGGTATTAGTTCAGCCCAAAGTTGTGCTCAAGGTTGGGGCCTCTTTTTTCGCTATCGAGGAAACCCCATTATTGATATAACAGTCTAACCCAATTATAATTATTGCCTGCTCTCATTGGCTAGCCAATTTTTTTTTGAAGCACAGTTCCCAAAAAACACATGACTAGGATAGAAACAAGATATCAGGGCAGAAAATACCCTTTGTTTGGTCTCAAATAGTTTATGTAAAAAAGTATTGGAAAATTATAAATTTTGAACAAAATCGAATACCAAGTGTGAATATATTGGTCGTACGAATTGAAACCGGTGGTATATAAGCCAGTCGAACTCCACACCAGTCGAAGTATCAATCAGCCAAAAAATGTAAGTATTAAAAAATAGTTAAGTAACAATTTGCAACAGTTACTAAAACTATGCAAAACTTATTGTGATGATGTTACTTTTCGCCTGGTTTTTATACTCCAGTTTTGCCGAGCAGTATATTTCGTCACGCATAAAAAAAATTCCCCCTACGCCTACGCTTTCAGTTTTATGGTTAAAAACTTCAAAGAGTGCATAAATTAGCCCACTGCATGGCCATATTGGCTGTTTTCAAGCACCCAGAACTTTGCAAAAAAATTGGAGGTGAAATACTTTAATATTTTGATTCAACCAGTGAATATTTTCAGTGGGCATGAATTTTTTTTTGAAATTTTTTTTTCCAGCGCAGAAAGTTGACTGAAAAAAAAACCACACCGAACATAATTATTCCGTTATATTTGAAAATCAAAAAGTATTGACAACATAATGTGATGGAAACATTCTTTTTTGTTGTGGTTTTTCGTTCTCTTTACAGTTTTAAACTCTTCGAAATATAATTATCGTCGAAATTTCATATTCAATCCGAGGTTACAAAGACTGCTCGCATCAGGGCAAAGCTAAATGCTTCGGCTGCCCTTTAATTGGACTGCGATAATTTTTGCTTAAAGTTTAAGGATAAAAGTTTAAGTTTTGCAGTTTCAGTCGTGAATGGAAGTACCGAAAAACCAATTAGTTAGTTTTTGGTAAACAAAACATTGGCAAAACTATGAAATTTAGGCTGATAATATAAAAAAAGTGTTGCAGTTTTTGTCGTGTATAGAGTTACTAATTTCAATCGACTGCCTCAGTTCAAATTGGAACAATTTTGTAATGCGGAACAAAAAAAGAAGCAGTTTTAGGCACATTCAGGCAGTTACTGCAGTGATGAGCAAATTCGGCTGGGTACATATTGATCATGTGGTCGATCCCCCGAGGGTGCCATTACGAGTCCAAACTGTGCATTCTGTGCATTGTAAGCGGAATCCGCATCAGCCCATAATCAGATTTGTTGCGGAATCCGCACCTTTGCTTTTTTCTTGAATCTTGTCTGCTGTTTTGGATTCCACAAACAAATACCTAAAACATTGTACCGCTCAGAATCGCTCCAAATATAGGCGATTTTGCTGAATCCGCAACTGTATTTGGGGAATCCAGAACAGTTTGTGGAATCCACAAGCAAATGCGGAACCCAAAATTGTAAGCTGAATCGCAATATGTTTGTCTGTGGTAACGTTTTATTTTATATCTTTTTTTACTAGGTGGTCACCAGCAAGTTCAATCTCAATTACTACGTTCATCAGCTACCAGTTGGAACACCTGTCAATTTCATGTCCTGTCACCAAATGCGATCACAATTCTTGCCATCAATCTCAATTCCTGTAAAGTAAACCAATTGAACAAACTATGATGGGAACTCGCATCTAAATTCATCAATTCAAGTCAATCAATTAATTCAACTAAAATAAAAAAGTTCATTTTTCTTTTTTGAGTATATCAAATTGCAAAGCAACGAACATCGGGAAAACATTTTTTGTTTTTGAAATTAACTATTATTTCAGCTGCAGTTGTTCAAATTTTGTTAATTTTTATTTAAAACGGATTTAATCAAATTAGTTTCTTTTAATAGATAATTTACTCCCTATGGGCAAACTACACCAAAATATTAGCTTACTATCTATGAGCAACTTTAACTGGCCAACTTAATTTTAGGACTATAACACAAACTTCATACAGTAAAAGGAATACGGCAAGCAAGTTACGGTTAATTTGAAGAGCTCAAGTAATAACGAACAGTCATAACAACAAACAGTAAACAGTTCAAGTTGTTCTTTCCAAGTCAAAAAAAAACCTCGGCAGGTTAGGTCATACTGTCTAAATATTTCTTGGTAGTTATCCTCGACAGCATATCTACCACGGCATGCATTAAGATGGCATCGAATTGTGCTAATGAGAAAATCTCTGTGTTCAGTGAGCTTGAGAGATTTTATCAGAGTGTCCAGCTCACGTTCGTTTTTTTTGCTGACAAAAAAAAATCCGATATTTCCTCAAGGACGTACTCCTAGATTGATGGCATCCAAAAATTCCTGAGATAATAACTCCCAAAAACTTAGCAGCACACTGTATGGATGATACACCAATGGTCTTCTGGTTACTGGTGTAGCTGGAATAAACGTTTGCACTGTTTTTTTCTTCATCAAGCCAACGCATCTTTTTATCGCCAAAAACGTCGCAAAAATTCGGCTAATTGGGGGCGTGATATCAATCAGACCGCTGTCAATTTCGTTCCTAAACCAAGCACAAGAGAATCAATCATCTTTGTTTTCAGAAAAACACCGAAATTCGAACAAACAATACCAAAAAGTATTCTTCAGCAAGTTCCGCGATAACAGAAGTTGTTCTCTTGGTGACGTCCGCAATTTCCACGAAACTCAATCCAGCAAGCGCTCATTTCTCCGTGCAATCGATTTTCAAATAATCAAAACAGAACTTTTCTT